TGAAAACGATGTGTTTGAGAGAGGCGGGGCATAGAGGACCTACAATAATGTACAGTATTTGAAAAAGAATGTGTTTTTTGAACATTAAAGCATGTCAACATATTCTGTTACACCAAATACACCAAATAATTATCTTTAAAATAGCATCATATGACCCCTTTAAGAGGTCTCCCATCTAGGTAGAGACCAGGCTCAACCCTGCTTAGCTTCAGTGGGAAACCATGCAAGAGTTTAAAGTTGACAGCTGCTGGCGTTAGTGAGGATGCAGAGCAGTAGTGCGTTTGCTGGCCACTTTTGTTCGTGCTCGGGGTTCTGGTGGAGAGATTTATGCTGCTCGTCCTGGGCCTTTTCATTTGTCTAATTCCCCATTTGGAAGTCAGACCAATGGCTGGCAGAGCACATCCTGTCCGACCTGCCTGCACGTCCTTGATCTTAAAGGCGACTGAAGCTTTGTGCACGCCACTGCCCTTTTTTGACCACTGTCCAAGAGCAGCATCACCGCTTCTGATATTTATTAGTCTCTCAACAGCCAAAATCTACTATGAGGCCATTTTCATTGCCAAGCTAACTTTAGAAAGGAGGCCTAATAGGTTCGCGCACATTATCTCACATCTGATCAAATGGGTGTATAATAGGCCTTTTAGCTGGTGGGCAAGACGAACTGACTTGGACTGGACCAGTCATAATTCAGAGTATGGGCTTTCACTGCACAGCTTTCTTTAGGCTGGATGTGCCCCGAAAGTAGTGATACTCTCCGGGCAGCTGCTCGTATCTGGCATGCTCTGTTCCAGTGCCATGCAAACACTCTTTCCTAGCCAAATCTGGCTGGATCATGCTGCCACCAGTTGCTTATTCGAATTCGACATTATTTCACAAGCCCACAATAGTCCAAGATAAAAATTCGTGTTTTTACCAGCTGTAAATAAAATAACACCCATTCATATGATCCAGGGGAAGCTTCGCTTGACCCCGTGTGACTAATAACTCCTACAAGGGGAGCAGAAATTACATCTGACTGCAGCTTTACTGAAATTCTTCATTTTATCTCATGTTTCCCTTTTAATAAAATCTCGGGACTGCGGCAGCCAATTCTTACCTAGCATATTATTAAACGACTGCATTTAAGTGAATTCCAAAGTACAACCGAGAATTTCTAGTGAACAGCAGGTCTGAAGCACATTATTTCACTTCTCTCCAGCTGGGCGGCTTTCCACTGTGAGCGGCTTCTCTATTTCTCAAAGGCCTGCACGTTTAAACTGTCTTATTAAACAATTGTGGCCATTTGCTTTTGATGCACGTCTCCGGTGTACTTACAAAACAAAAGTGAAAAAACGGGCCGCAAACAGATTTTGATCAACTTATGAGGGTTTTGTCTCACAGTCGCAACCAATTAGCATCTCTCCCCCGCAGAGAGTTTGATATAACAGGGCTAAATAGTGAGTAAACAGACAACCCCCTCATTTGACAAGCTAAAAGTGATGGTTTTGCATCTCTCAACGTCTTGGGGGCTGGCAAAGTGTGGCCACCGAGCCTCCCATATCATCCCTTTTTTTAAAAAAACAAAAATGATAATTTCATTGATGGATGGCTTCAAATGGAAGCACTCTGCCTTCCAGCTGAAAGGAGCTATCCGATGCTCTCATGACAGCTCTGTGATGCCATTAAAGCAAGGAATGATCAGACACATCCAGTGGGCCCCTTGAGCTGCATATCTAAGCTAACGTCTTTGCCTCTAACGCACTAGCTAATTACATTTGATGAAGATGTTGATTGCGAGCAGATTTGTGGCTAATGTCTGTCATTGTGTGGCTGCGGAATCGGCGCTCGTCGTTGTCAACGTATACAGTACGTGATTCACACTTGAGCATGTAGATTTAAAATGTCAATCTGTGTAATAATGTTTTAAAATAAACTAATTAAAGTTTCTTTAAGATGCCTGCGTGTTAGCGCCTAGCGGTAGCCCTCGCTTTGAACGGCGCTAATGATAGCAGTCAATAGATGTCCGATCCCGACTGCGAGCAGCCACTCAAAACTAATTAAGAAGATGAGACCCTAATAAACGTACATCTGTTGATACAGACTGAATAGGTTTGCCTATAAATAATACAATGCGCTATGAAGCGAGGAAAAAAAAAGCAAAAATGCCATTTGCGTCCAGTGTAGCAATAAAGTTGTGCGAGCTGATTCAAGTTAATGATTATTGAGTGAATCATCGCAGAGAGCTGAGAACAAAATGAGCTTTTAATTCATTAAACTGTTATTGTTGCTAATCTGCATTCTGCTTTAAACTCTACATTTCCCAGAGTCTAATTAAACCCGGTTCCATCCAGTTTTGTGGCCTAAATAGAATTTGATCCTCTGTTTGTCCTTTTTTAAGAACACAATGCACATCGGAGAGCATTTACACATACATATGCACAAAGTTGCACAGACGTGTGAAGTGTGCTAAGTGTGCAAGGGATGTAACCCCATCATAAAAGGGGATCATCAAGGTCGAGTAGGCGCCCATCTGTATCACTGGTTGTCAGGGCCCCAGGGCATTATGGGTACTTAACAAACACAAGTTGTAAGCGAACAATTTCATCTGTCTCATTTAAACATGTTGCATATTTCATGGTTTGCACGAGTGTGTTCATGTGTGTTAGTTTGAAGGTTTGTGTGTGTATGGCTACATGTTTGAGTCCATGCATGTGAAACGTTCCTTTGCATCCCATGTGAAGTAGTCCTAGCAGGATAGAGAAAGACCAGAAGAATTCATCCATTTTTTATGTCTACATTTCTACATCAGGGAGATGGGTGGTGCCATTTTTTCTCTTCTCCATTTAATATTTAATGCAAACACTCACAACAAATTGTCCCCTTGGGCCAATTATAAGAAGTTTATGGTGAAGAAATAGAAATATACATTCCTACGTATGCCTACAGGACTGTCATATCTTTTACTGATGAGTTTCGCATTTACATATCCTAATGTATGTCTGGAACAGCAGCACTGGCAAATTTGCAAACTGTGCACACATCTTGTACCGTATCATTTCCTTTCCTCTAATATTAAAATCAGTCGCAGACTGCTTAACATACTGCTTTATAGAGCACACGGGTTACATCTAATCAAATGCATCATCTCCAGTCTATAATTATGCCACATAGTGGGAAGTCACATGGTCTTGGGTTTTACTTTTATATGAATTTATTTTTTACTTATAATAGCATTACCATGATATTAAAATAGCATGTGATAAAAACAGAATATAATGGAAATAGTTCTAAAAGTATAAAATTAAAAAATTATATCATTTTCAGTTCTAGACACCACTGACAATAAAATAAAATAAAACACAGCAGAGCTGTGCTAACACAGTTTCAAGAAAATGCCTTAATTATTTATTATGCAGAAGTTAACAAATTTATGGAAGACCAGGGAGTGTTGTAACACATTGTTTCAGAGTCTGTAACAGTATTTTTTTAAATAACTTTGGCATAATTATATTAATTCTGCTACAAATCAAGGTATTTCAGAAATTTAGAAAATGATAATCTGTGTAAATTAGTGTCAAAGAGTACTGCTGTTACACCCTACCTAAATAGCTGATTGTATCAACAGAAAACATGGACATTATAAATTTGGTGCATGAATGTATTGCGGTAATTGAATTTACTTGTTCAGATTAATTATTTCCTAACCCCTAACCCATTCATCTCACCACCTAATCTAATTCAAAAATGGTAAACATGTAAGGCCTAATACAAAATAGCAAATCACATCAAATCAAAACAAAGGCTTGTGTTTCTAACATCATAATAGACTGTGTGCAGTAGCTGTCTCACAAGTGTGGCAAATGCAGTAGAAGAACAATGGACTTTTTTTTTTTTTTTTTACTGTACAATGGTCCCCATCTGCTCAGTCAGATGAAACCAGTTCTGTCATTTAACAGCCATTTGCATCATTCTGCTACAAATTATAATAAAAATCTTACTTTACCTGTTATCTTACATCCAAACATTTATATTTTAAAACATACTGTAGATGTAACCTACAACATGTTAGTATGTTAGTGATGTCACTCTGTAGCACATTCCCAATTGGTTAAATTGATGGTGTTACAACTCACCCCGTGTTACGACACTTTCCAGCCTCTCCTACTATTTATTGCAGCATAAACACGCAAACTGAATATTGACCAACTGCACTGCTAGTTAAGCCAGCTTTTATAAAGTTGTGGCACAGGTAATAATTCACTGAAAACAGAGTGCGTCTGCGGAAATGTCCGAGGCGACTTCAGCCAACATAAACGCCATTGGTTGAGGTCCGTCCATGGGCCATGGTCCTGACCAATCTGGCCATAGTTTTTCATTGCGTGAATCCTAACGCGTAAACGCGTACTTTACACAATTCAAAGAGTTCAAATTGGCGATTGATAATTAACAGCTGACACCTAAACGACAACGACTAATAGACGAGTATTTATGGCGCGTCTATGAAAATTTCACACTCAAGTAAGCCGTGTGAAATTTTCGCATGTCTGATTTTGCCTGAATATTTCTAGGTCAGGTAATGCGCCGTCCTTCACTTCAATTCACATCTGTCACTTCAGCTCTAATCAGCCAGCGCGAGGAAATCTCACACTCGAGGCGAATAAACTAAAAGAGCTCTTACAAGTGCTTCTGTGACAATACGAACAGTGCTCCAACAAACACAAGTCCGGTTGTGATGAAACGTTCGGGGTTGAGGACTGTGATTCATCGCGAAACTTTTCAGCTGTCGTCCTCTTAATCGAGTTCCCAGATTCTTAGAAAATCTTCCCTGCGTCTGCGTCTGTGATTTATTCAAACAACTCAACAGTGATTCAACCACTAACCTCCAATGAGCTAATTAGAGTGCTCAGCACTTGTTTAGAAACTGATAATCAAAGAAGCCACTGTGCATCTCGCAACAATGCGTATTTACAGCACAGGTTGTGATGGTGAGCAGTATTTCGCATGCTACGAAGGCATCTTACCTCGCAGGGTATAGTAGATAACATCAGCAGCAGGAACATGGCACTGAAGAGATGCATTCCTCTCGAAATGACAGCGTACCCGACCACCACCAGCACTGGGTCACTTTCGTTTTCAGAGCTCGCCTGCCTTCCTTAAGCTCCGCGCAGGATTCTGTCAATGTTCTGTCGAGCAAGCGCGACGATCCACATCACAGGCGGCACTCGCTGGGGTTTATTCCGCTCACGGAGGCAGATTACCCCGACTGTGCCACGGCACAACGAGCCGCCTTGTGTTTTATGATTAGTCTCCTATCTTTCGCTTGTGACCGCCACCAAGAGGTCAGCGTTGTAAACGGGCACGGGAAATGAAGGCGGGCCGTTTCCCTTCTCAGCAGGCTTTTTGAAGTGGGATCGACTGCCTGAGCTCGAGTTGCAGAGGTTGGAAGGTGACTAATGTGCTTGCGATGCTCCGACGCTAGGAGCAGCACACATTGACGCTCTGGGAGCGGAATCAAAGAGATGCCCTGCTAGAGATGCAGCCCAGCCGCTCCAGTGTGTGTGTGTGTGTGTGTGTGTGTGTGAGGGTGAAAGAGGAGGCTTTGTATTGACAGCCCCAGTCTGTTGCACAAACAATGGATTTTTGAGATGAGATGAAATGGCATGCATATCCCCAGGAGAGCTGTGACATTAGGATACGGGCGGTTTGATGATTGGATTAGACTTTGAGCAGCGTATTAGCGGCGCTTTGCATGTGAAAGAGAGTTGCTGACAGTTCGGCGTCTCTAAGTAAGGGATAATCTACGTAGTCAGCCGGTCATTATTGCAAAAGAACTCCGACGGGCTGATCAAGAGGTGTCTTGTATCACCCTGAAGGGGGTTATTTTGTGATAATGACCAGCTTACTGCACATTATCCCAGTTATTACAGGGCTACTTAACAAATAAATAAATAAACAGACATAAAATATTAATTCGAGAGAAGTTGTTTTGTTTAGTTGTGGAGGCTGTGGACAGACTGCTACAATATTTAAGAAATGTAGGTTTCCCAGATGAGCATACAGTGTAGCCATGGGAAATGGACATTATTCAAAAATAGTTGATAATTTTAATGTAAAGCACTTTCAATTAAGATTGTGTATGAGATTGATCAGTGAAGCCTTGTAGAGCTAAGGTTTTCAAAGTAAGGTTCAGGGACGAGTGCTGGGGGCCATGGCTGGAAAATAGTGTACACAAATAAGAATAAATAATAATAATATAAAAAATTACATTAGCAAAATATGACGTGCTATGCCATTTGCGTCCAGTGTAGCAATAAAGTTGTGCGAGCTGATTCAAGTTAATGATTATTGAGTGAATCATCGCAGAGAGCTGAGAACAAAATGAGCTTTTAATTCATTAAACTGTTATTGTTGCTAATCTGCATTCTGATGGGGGGTTTGATGGGGGGATTATAGTTTTTGCCCGCAAGCAATATGAATGTGCATTAATAAACAAAGACGCCAGAACGCACACTCCTGCATCAAACTCCAGTGCAAATGCCTGCCACTCCCAGTGCATTATTTATGAATTATGAAGAAATATGAGCAAATATATAATGGCCATAGTAGGCCTATACTTGTTGATTGCTCTTGTTTAAAAGCAATCAAGGCTCATGTGAAGGTCGCAGGCCTTTACGATAAATCTTTGACATTTAATATTTAGTGTTGTAATAGGAAATGCCAGTTTAGAGAAACTGCAATGCAGAGATGGGAGTTTCTTAACTTTTGTTGAGTAGTGATATAAGTGCATAGTATTTAAGAAGCTGCTTTTTCTTGGTTTTCAGTGTCAGTTTTCATTGATGCATATCACATAACACAAATGAGATTGCTAAATCCATCTGCATCGTTAAATATGCATGACAAAAGCGACTTTATTTTACAGACACACACAGTGGGTAGAAAAAGTTCTGTATTTTCTGAGGCGCAGAGCCAAATCAGGAGTTCTCTCTCTCTCTCTCTGTTTTTGCACACTTGGCTGCACACTATGAAGAGGACATTGAGCTAAAGCGTCTATATTTTCCCCACTATCTCTCTCTGTCTCCTTAACAGTGGCAGATAGTCTTTTTGTATACTGAAGGCTGCAGGACACAATGTCTAGAGTTTAGTGTGTGTTTGTGTGTGTGTGTGTGATTTTGCACATATTCAGGAGGACGCTTCAGAGAAATCTGTACTGAGCAGTTATTGTTCCTAACAGCAAAATAGCAACCCTTGAAAACCTAAAGCTTAATTATTTTCCAAATGACCCACATGAAGTGGAAATGCTTATTGTGGGAACTAGTTATCCAACAACAGGCTGCGCTCTAAAAAATGCTGGGTTGTTTCAACCCAACTTTGGGTCAAATATGGACTAACCCAACCGTTGGGTTACATTTTTTACATTACATTTTTAACCCAAAAGTTGGGTTAGTCCATATTTGACCCAAAGTTGGGTTGAAACAACCCAGCATTTTTTAGAGTGTGCCTTCAGAGGGTAATGTAGTGGTTTCAAAGGGAGGAGTGAACAGTGGAAACAGGAACAGATCGATACCTGTTCATTTCAAAATTTCTGCGCATTGATTTTGGTCCCATCCTGATATGGTAGAAAGACGCACTGGAGTCTGAAAGATGTCTGAGCTGCTGTGTAGTCCTCATGTGAAAGCAGCTTAACTGTGTGTCAGTACCATCAGCATTCTTCCGGTCACTTCCACTTTCCCAAGCAAATGTCAAACACTGTCAGTAAAGCCCAGCCTGTGGCTATATTTCAGCATACTAAGGGCATACTGTAGCACATTTATGGAAGCCTGTTTCTGTCACATAAAAAATCATGCTTTGGTAATTCAAAATTATGACAAAATTGATTAAATGAAAAAATTATGACATGAAAAGTAACAATAGTGACAAAAAGTTACAATTATGAGAAGTCATATTTCTTATAAAAGGTTACAATTATTACAATAATAATTATTACATTATTTTGACATGTATCTCATAATTATGACTTGCTATTTCATAATTTTGACTTTTCAATCTCATAATAATGAGATTATTACCACTGCATGATTTTTTACTTATGTGATGTAAATGGGCCACCATACTGTACCTAAAGAATGAACAAAGAACCAGAAACAATTTCTTTTGTGCAGTTAAAAAAAAGCAAGTGCAAGTGTAGCAAGTGTCCCATCACACAAATATGCCAGCATCCAAGGAGAAACAAAACAAAACAAAACAAGTGCCCAAATATGGAAACTGGCACAAACTCCAAATGTTCAAACTGCACTTCAGTGCTGGTGTATGACATCTCATAAATATGCCAGCATATGGGATAAATCAAATTAAAGTAAAGTAAAGTAAAGTAAAGCAAATAATTAAAAATAATATAACTTAAATATAACTTTAAAATATAGTAAAAAAAATAATTACAAAATGTAAAATAAAAAAATAAAATAAAATAAAATATGATGTTGAGCCAGTAGCAAGTTTTCACATATCGAAGGTGTGAGGGAAATTTTCAAACCCCACTTTGGTGCAGGTGTATAACATCACAAAGATGTTATAAATTAAATTAATTATACAATAATATTACTTAACTAATTAACTAATAACTAAAAAAAATTATATAAAATAAAAATCCATCAATTAGTCAATGTTCCCACAACATTTTTTTAAAAATGTTTCTAAAACATGCTAAATAACCTTCTCTGTTGGCAGCGATGCACTTACAAAACAAATGCATTGCTTCTTTATACATCATCTTCCCAGCATCAGAAAACAGAAAGCTATAAGATCAGAAGCCGGTGATATCAAGTAGGATTTTCAAACATCCAACTCTGATGGGAATGCAGCATCAATCCAGCACAGCTCACAGTTATTTCCCTTGCAGCGACACTATCTAGCTGATATTGAGACGACTGGTCATTCCTCAGTCCCATCTGCAAGCCACAGTATCGGCTGATGGAGATGCTTCTTTGGGGCATAAAAAGTCACGTCGTTCAGCCATTGCCCTCCTATGGGGCAAGAGGGATGAGGAGTGGTTTGTTGCCATAGCAATGTCCATTACGGTCCCAGTAGGAGAAGGTGTGAGAGGCAGATTGCTCGTCGGCCAGCGGCAGACAGAACCAAACATGGCGTTTCACACCCTCCCTTGGGCGGTTGCACATTTAGTACCTGCTCGTAACCAAGGCAACTGGGGCAAGGGCAAACAAAGTTCATAGAGAAGTATTGGGATGCGTTGTTTGTATGGCCATGAACTCAGATGAGTAAACAACACATATCTGCACTTAGATAAGGCTTGTTGTGAGTTCACTGCTGCTCGCTGATTGATTGTTTAAGGAAAGACTCTGGACTCCACCAGATTGTTCCGTTCATCAGTACAATCACAGCGCTTCAATCTAGAGCCATGATTTCTGAACACCACAGGCACATATTCAGTCTAGAGATGAGACATTTGTTGGGCCGCGCTCGATAGCCCGTATTTGTGTCTAATTGGATGCAGAAAGAAGCATAATGGGATTCGAGAAAATGCATAACTCCCAGTTTTCTCTGCCAACCGAAACCTGCAGCTATTTGCTGTCGGCAATTCTCCCTGTTGTTTTTTTTCTGCTCCATTGAAACAGAAGACATTTCATGTTTTTTCTCCATTAATTTTAATTTCAGAATGGGCTTCCTGTGTTTTCAACAACCCAGAGAATGTCGTTTTAATGTGTGCTGTTGTTGGAGGTCTTTAGACGGTCGCCCTCCTTGTCAAAGTTACGATGGCGGCGATCGCGCCCCTTGTTTCTCAAACGTGGGGTAACAGTCATAGCCATCTGAAGATGTATGGTCATAAAGGGCATTGTGCTGTGAAATTACATGCTTTTCTTTCTTTTTTAAGGGAATTGTTCATGCAAATATGACAACTGATTCTGTAAAGGGCTATTAGAGTTGGCATAGCAACGGCATTTGTAAACCAAGGGCCATAGAGCCATTAACAGACTCTCCAGATTATGACATCACTCCCTCTCTGGCGTCGCAGGACCTGATTCACAGGCACAAGGGGTAAACAACAGACATTTGCTGGCTTCCTCTCTCAGCTTTGCCCGGAAGTGAAGCCTCGTCCTTAGAGGTTAGTCGAAATCGGGTATGTTTTTCCATGAGTCTGTGGGTATGAGCAGACGCAGAGAGAAAGGGGCTGGGGGATAAAAGAATGGTTTTACATAATTAAGCAGATAGTAGCGATTACAGGAGCTTAGCCGCAGAGCACTGAACTCCCCGCACTTGGGCTCATTATGAAGTTAAATACTTAAAACTGTCACTGATGGTTTAATTACAGCTCTGCTATGGAACAATCGCTTCAAAACCCATCGGCGCAAACCGCAAACCTGCCCCGAATAGCACGGCATCAGCCCGGAAAGAAGCCGAATTTCCCTCTTTTCCTGCATTTCTTATACCCCAGAGATAAAGGGGGAGTAATTAAACAGCCATTATGATGCACTTCCCCTGCTGGCTGACAGCGCTGCACTCTGATGGAGGAATTCCTCTGCTCTCACTGTCAGCTGTTCTCTGCAGAGTCCGGGAGGAATGGAACACTTAAGGGCGTTACATAATCAGGATGCAAAAAAGGCAGGGGAGCATGGGGTAAACTGTGCCCCTTTTTACTCCAGGCGACGAGAAACAAGATGGTAGCTAAAATAATATGCTGAAAGGGATAGTTCACCCTCACTTACCCTCATGTCGTTCCAAACCCGTAAGACTTTGGTTAATCTTCAAAACACAAAGTGTGACATTTTTCATGAAACCTTTCTAGTTCTCCATTGAAGGGCTAGGTAATCAAAACTTTAACGCTCCAAAAATGTTCTAAAGGCATTGTAAAACAAATCCATATGAATTGAGTGGTTTAATTCAAGTCTTGTGAAGAGATACGATCGCTTTATATGATGAACTGATTTAATTTAGGCTTT